TGGCTTCAAAAATTTGCAAAAACCAAAAGACACTTGATTTTGGTTGGTGCGTCGGCAGTTTTTTGGACCATTTGGAGACTGAGGAATAGTACTTTTCTAGAATGACAAGATTAATGATCCATGTGTACATGTTAATATGATTGCGATATAGTTGGATGATTGGGCTATTTTACAGAAAATAGGTAAATCAAGAGATGCTTAGATGGGGAGCTAAAATGTTTGAGTTGAATGCAAATAAGGCCTTCGGAGTGTTGCATGGCCAGCGGGTGCGAGTGAGCAAGATCATGCCGACATGAAGATGGCCCCTGTTGTGTCTTCGAATTTTCTACTAGTGCCCCCTAAAGGTTTTGGGGTGATTAGTGACAAAATAGTTAAGGGATTAATATGTTTGTGAGTATAGACAAGTGAAAGTCCATAGGATTTGGTTTAACACGAGAATAATGGCCCCTAAAAATTGTGAGGCCAGTGAATATTTTCAGATTGACTGTCTGTGGAACGATTAGCTCGCAACGTGAAGTGTGGTCAAGACTTTTGTTTTCTGGTTTCGTATTCTTCTATTTGAATCATAGAGCAAACCGTTCTGTTAAGGGGGTCTAAATGAAATCTGAGATTTAGGTCTTCAATATATGCTCAATAAACCTATTTCTTCGAGTGAAAGATTTGGAAATCTCTTTGTGCGATTTTTTCTCTCTGAGTCCAAGATGATGATCTTCAGGACTCCGAAGAAGAAACACTCGCAGTTGAGTCAATTTGACTTGTTCCGCAAATAAGTCGTTGGCTGTGTATGAATTCGACCCTTACACCATGTGTCATGTGTACAATGGGTGACTAGTGACTTGTTGGTCATTTCACACCTCGGGATTGCTCCCAACTATAAATGGCCACCCCACTTCAACCTCAGGTGGTTGGCTGCTCTGCGAGAGAATTGACAAGAGTTTGTTTGAGCAAACTATCCCCTGAAGAAGGAATCCTAAGAGAGGAAAAAATAGAGCCTAAAAACTGCTAAGTGATTGAGCATCACTGAAGAACTAGTCAAAACTTAACTTAACCTGCTACTCTTGTGGACTCTGCATCCACTTGACGGTTAGGTGTCGATTCTGAGGGACCAAGAGTTATTGTGGACACCTAAAGAACAAGTCGGTGAAAGTCTTGCAGATCTACCTCAAAATTATACCATGGGTGATTGAGCGAAGTCTATGTCACTTTAGCTCAAAGATAATAGGATGAAGACTTTGTTTTCTGAGTTTAATCTTAGCCGCTCCAACCAGACGTGAAGTTGTACCAGTAACTCAAACTGTCGAACAAATTATGTCTTCATCAAGTTTACGTGTTCTACTTCTTCCATCTCAATTTACTTATGTAATTTTCATCTTTTTGAAGAACTTCTCCCCTTCTTTCTCTCTAATTGCTTCAAAGACGATTCTGAGTACTTTGTCATTCCGATGTGCATGCCATGTTTAGTTTCGTGTGTATTGCTACTTAGATTTACCTCTGTTCAACTATATGTTTCTGTGAGTTATTTTCAGTTCAGTTTAGTTCTTCTTCTATTTTGTTTTGTTATTATTCTGTGTACTCTATTTTTCTTGGAAGAACCTGCTTTTTCAAAAATTGATGCACCTCACATTAACCCCCATCCCCGTGGTCCATATCAGATCCTACAGCTACCTAGGCTGAATGATGTTTGATAGATGCCTCATTTTAGTTAGTTGCATGTTCGTTTTTTTGAAAGAAGGATGTACCCCCAGCCTCTGCATCTGGGCGATGCATGCAGCCATTTTATAAATTATTCACAAAGCCCTTATAAGGTAATACATCAGTAAGTCTGAAAGCTACCATCTTGGCAACACCCGTCGCTACTCATATCCCCGTGATGAAGGGGTGCCGAATGTCTGAGCCTAATACCAAACAGACATCACACCAACACCTAACATCTAATGCCGGATGCCCCATCCAAGCCACAATACCAGGACTGTGTTACACACCGATCTGGTGCACTTTCAATGGGCACCACATGCGCACGCTGCAAGGGCCGTCACCTCCTTCATTCATCAATCCATCCTCAGATGAGATACTGATGCACCGACCTTGCCAGGTGTGATAGTCTGGCTTAATAGGGATGATAGACTACTCATATCGATAGGAAATTCGTTCTTTTTCGAAAGCCCATTCAGACAGAACTCCAAAGTTAAGTGTGCTCAGCTTGGAGTGGTTTTAGGATGAGTGACCAAAAGAGAAGTTGCTCCGGGGTGCGGACGAGTGAGGACAAAGTGCGCAGAAAAGACTAGTATTGATCTGTGGGGCTAATCTAGATCCTGCCAGGAGTAACGATCACCCGCGGGTGTGACCGGGGCGTTACAAGTTGGTATCAGAGCCGCCCCTCGTGGTTACACTGATGTTTGCGGATAGGTGTGCGGTCATGTTTGTTCATGACGTTTGTGACCCGTCGTGGCACACAACATGGCACATGTACCGAACTGGATGCATAGACGTATGTGCCAAGAGGGAACGTTCATGTGGCTCGACGAGCACGTCGCTTCCTCTGAGTGAGGGTGTATGTGATAGCTTGGCTTAATAGGGATGATAGGCTACTCATATCAATAAGCAATTTCTTTTTTTTCAGAAGCCCATTCGGACAGAACTTCAAAGTTAAGCATGCTCAGCTTGGAGTAATTTTAGGATGGGTGACCGACCGGTCAATGGTAGCCTCCTCCATATCTGAGGTTTCCCACAGAAACAATGGAGCGAGGGACGCCCCTACCATCGCCTCCAACGAGGAAAATGACACCCACGGGCGCCGCTGACGATGGTGGCATCCTCACCCACTTCAACAGCTATGCCACCATCTCCTCCTCTACTTGATCCGCCGCTGGGAAGCCACCGCGAGGCAACAGCCACAGACTAGATCCCTTTGGACCGACGATGAAGACAGACAAAGGTAGAGGAGGTCACATCACTACGTGATCGGCGCCATGGCCACACACACGTCCTCCCAAGGAGCCCGCTCAAGATCCACCGTCACAGTCAAGCCTCCAAGCCGCGACAGAGGGACGCCCCGTCGCTGGCATCATCCCCCCGCACGGGCTTTGCCCAGCCGGGATCCGGCGGCAGCGGGAAAGGAGGCAGAGGGGAGGAGAGGCGGACGGGAGGGACCTGGAGGGGAGAGGAGGCAGACTAAAATTGGGGGAGAATTTCACTTCCCTGGGCTCTGCACCAACTAGGGATGCATATGGCCTTTTAAGTATGAGTACTATGATTTTTAATCTCGGTTACACACCGAGCCTAGTCCTCAATAATAAATGCGTGAGTATCCGAAAAGCATGGTCCTCAAGAAATATATAAGAACCTAAATATGCCTCCATGAAGATTTGAACCCAGGTGTTGGGTTTGTACATCCACTCCCCCAATTAATTGAGTTAGGCTCACTCCCACAACCAGTTAGTTGCATGTTCGTAGCCTGGCATTTTAGCTTATTTTTTTAAAGTCCGTCTTGTGGATGCCCAAAACCTTGAGCTGGTCCTGGTTTAGATCATTTACTTCTATTTGGTTTCGTTTTGGTTAGTACTCTCTCGGTTCGGAATTATTTGTCCCGGATATGGATGTATCTAAAAATAAAATACGTCTAGATACATTCATTTCTGCGACGAGTAATTCCGAACAGAGGAAATATTTGTATAGGACACTCTGGTTTCAGATAAATGAAATCAGAGAGGAAGCTCTCTTTATCGAAAAGGAAAAATGAAACTCTTCTGGTAGGTGAAATGCTAAACAGGAATCAGGTGGTGTTTGTTTAGTTTATATCCAAACTAACCACACACTTGTCATTCCAACGTGGCATCATCAACATCTTCCGCATCTTGGTTAGTCGACACTTGATTGGAGTTGTTAACTGGTGGTGGTTTGAACAAAGATGTCACGCTGATTCTTATCATGACCTGGAACTAGACTAACCTGAATGATTGCATGAGACATGCATGCCGGTCTCTGGGAACGGCCAAAGAGTACAGTAGCTCTTTGCAGTGTCAACATTTGACTAGTGGAATCAATCTATGCAAACAATCGCAGCTCCAATGCTAAACTCAGTTCGTCCTGTAATCAGGAGCAACCAAATTCAGTTAATTGCCCATGCTCTTCGGAAGGAGGATCCAGGAAAACTGTTAGGCATATTAATCTGCTGCTAAATTCTTACTGATTGGTTCTTGTGTTTACCACATCCTATGCTTTGTCAAGATACACTCCTCGTTTATCACTCTAATATGGCCAGTAGTAGCTGGGCCATACTTTGATACTCTGCAATTTTGTGCATGTGTAGCTCTGCATCACTGCAATGGCAGCCTCCTACAAACGGAGTGCCATGAAAGGAAAAGGGGACAATGCAGGATACAGCTGCAATTACTGTCCCCGGACCCAAACCAAGCACCTTGTTTCTCCTGCAAGCAACACAAAATGATTAAACCAGCACAGCAACTCCACCACCATAATTGAAGAAAAGTGGCACTACGACACATTTGGTCTGAATCCTATGTAACGGAGGGACCGTGAGATGCAGGATTGCAGGTGCAGCACATCATCAACAATGCAGAAAAGCAGTTACTACTAATCACACAGGGGCAGACAGACACGGCAGAAGGCAGGCAGACAGACAGGGAGAAGAGAAGCAAAGCCAACCGTCCCCAAAGAATTTCTTAGCTAAAGATGGAGGCAACAACAGCGAGGTACAGAGAACAAATCATCATGAATGGCACCCACTACACACCGGCACTAGTACTACTACTGCTAAATAGCAACATCTAATCGTAATCGAATTCCGACACTTATGTACATGTCTGCAACTGGTCTACTGCTAAGGTTCCATCATCCTGCTTCTTCCTGATCCCGGCCCTCATTTTGCTTTCCTGGATCTTCCTCAGCCACTGTACAAGCGATGACTGTGGAATGGACGTTGAACCAAGCAGGGTGCTCAGACGAGCAGAGCCTGGCTTGATCGTTATCCGGTTTCTGCCTCATGAGCAGGATTTGATCAGGCCCAGGTTGTAGAGATTCCTCTTCACAAGGTTGCCGAGGTAGAACAGCCCGATGCCGGCGCCGTTGCGGTCGTCCCGGTCGTCCTGCCCGCGGGCCTTCTGGTAGAGCTGCGGCCGGTGCTCCTCGACGACAAGGCAGTCCACGCCAACCTTCTCCCTCACGGCTTCAATGACGTTCTGCTGGACGGCCTGGCCGGCGGTGGTGCCGGTGACATAGAACACGTTGGTGGCCATGTCGCCCTTGGTTGAAACCTCAGCCTGCGCCACGAGCAGTCCGTTTTCCCGGAACGTCCTGGTGACGTCCGACAGCAGCCCCGGCCGGTCTGGCGTGCACAGCTCCAGCCTCACTCCCTGGAAATTCAGAAATCAAGACACATTAGCATCCATGAATGGGAAAGATTTTGGAAGTTTGGTACCATAGTACAAAATTGGCGTGGAAAGTACCTCAAATGATCGCCGTTCTATGGCGTCTTGCAGGCATTGGCTCACTCGCTGCATCTCGGCCTCGGAGCGGATGGGGCTCCCGTCGGCGTGACGGATGTAGAACTCCTGCCTCGCCTGGCCGGCGTTGGTGTCGATGGTGCCGTGGAAGACGAGGTAGTCCATGTCGGTGAGCGTGCACACGACGTCGTACAGCAGCTTGGGGCGGTCTGGGCACTGAACGGTGACCACAGAGTACCCGCGCTCGGCCCAGCTCTCCACAGACACCCAGGGAGTTGGGAACGCGCGCTCCTGGTCGCGGCTGGCGTACATGAGCTGGTGGAGGCGCCGGTCGGCGTGCGCGATGGAGCCAGCGGGGACCGCAGCCACGGCGCCGCCGCTGGCCTCCGAGTCCCCGCGAAGGAGGGGGGCGAGGCGGGCCTCGATGCGCTCCACACTGGCGGCGCACACATCCTCGTCCCGCAGGTACACGAGGCAGGCGAGGCGGCCGCGGTGCGACCACGCCCTGGCATCCACGACGCTGCAGCTCATGTCGGCCAGCACGGCGAACACCTCGGAGATGAGCCCCGTGCGGTCGGCGCCCGTCAGCTCAAGGACCGTTAGCCCCTCGAGCGCCGCCGGCTTCGACGGCCCGTTCCAGGTCCCGATAGACTGCAGCCAAATCAAGGAGAAATCGAATAAGAAATGCTGCCCCTTTCTTGCTCCGGCGAGGCCAGGAAAGAGAGAAAGTTTCTCCTACCTGCTGGATGTAGGTGATGACGCTGTCGTCGGTGAGCTTGCGGCCGAGGCGGTCGGTGACATGGAAGACATCCATGAACCACCTGCCGTCGGAGGAGATGTAGGCCTTGTTGATGGACAGGTCGAGGTCCGCGAGCACCTGGACCGCCTCGAGCAGGACGCCTCTCTTCCTCGCGCTGTCGACCTGCAACAGTCACCACAGGAAAATGAGAACCCCATCCAGGCATCCAACCAAGAACCCGCCGGAGAGCGGACGGAGGACCTCGACGGAACGGACACACACCTGGACGAGCGTGGCGGTGGGGCAGACGGCATTGTCGATGACGACCTTGGGGGTGTCCATCCTGATGACCAGCTTCTCGTACTCGTTGAGCCACTCCATCTCTGCTGCAGCCTGCCTAAGGGACTCCCCACACCGCAGCGCTGCCTCTTCCTCTTCTTGGCCGGGGACTTGCGCTCTCAAAGCAAAGTGCTCCGCAGAACCAAAGGGCGGTCCGGCTGGTATATAAGCGAGCGAGGGGAGCGAGGTCGGGGACGAAGGGCGCGAGGGGTGGAGTGGAGGAGCTTGGGGGGGATCGCCCGCGGTTTGGAGGCTTCTTCTTCTTCCCCTTGGCTGTTGTCGCTCGCTGGTTCGAATTGGAATGCGGGGAACTGGAATTGGGGGCGATGTTTATGTAACGGGACGAGCCGGGGTCCGTCGGTGGGCCCGGGGCCACATGGATGGACGCAGGAGCGGCTCATGGGAGCCAGCCGGGTCGCCACGTGGAGGCATTCCTTCTCTTGCTTGCAAATTCCTTTTGAGTCCCGCTTAACCAAACGGCAGTTTTTACTAATATTTTGGTGTTCTGCTTACGCTCCTATAGAAGGAGTAGTAATAAAAATATGAACAGCCTCGACCACAATTATATTTGCGCATGACATTTTAACAGTTTTCTAAGTGAATGGAGTAAAAATATCACATGATGCGTCACGATCCTGTAACTAAAATTTGACCGTCGGTCACATTCTTGTTCCTGGAGAAGTACAGCCAGTGGCGAGTTTTTCCTTGTGGCCCGAAGACGTCAAGAGGGTGATATACCGAGGCTGCTCAACATAGAGCCATCGTTTCAGTTTAATACTGTAGTACTCCACAATGCACACAAGTATCTCTTCTTTGACAACTCTAAACAAAAAATATATTTTGTTTGGAGAAACAGGTTAACGAGCGGCGAAGAAGAAAAGAAACGATTCTCGCGAAAAGAAACGAAACAGCAGGGTGGAATTTCTCTGTACGGCACGGGGGCTGGTGGGCGGGCCCGGCCCAGAGGGGAGCCGTCCCTGTGCCTGGGTGGCGGGCCCGGTTCGGCTGCCGCGCGCTTTTGTGTCGTCGTTACGGACGCTGTCATCTCGCTGTTGCCACTTGTATCGCCAAACCCCGCCTCGTCCCGCCCAAACTTAAATGACCCGACTGCCCCTGTGTCCAACGCACAAAAAGGAAGCAGGACGGAGGGGCCTGATCGTCATTTCGCGCGTGCAGCCGGCGGGCACTGGGTGTCGCGTTGCTGTCCCGTCCTTGCCGCCCGAGGCCGCACGCCACGAAACATGGGTCCGTATCCTTTGGTGCCCCCGATCGCTTTTTTCCTTGGACTTTACCACGGCCCATCTGCCCATTTCTACTAGTACTGGTAACTAATCGGACGTGAAAATTCATCGGGCGTTGTATGTTTTGCCTGCACCCAGTGGCGTGCTGCTACTTACGGTAACGAATGTCTTGTTTTCCTTGGAGCAAAGGCTTTGTTTCGTCGATCTTGTTGCCATGCAAGGGACGGTGACACGGACAAAGCCCGGCGGGCGGGCGTGGGTCCGTCCAATTTTGGAGCTCTGGACTGACCGGCTCCACATAAAATACGTACATGCGCGGCCTACCACGCACACAAAAATGATACTTTACTGTCGGATATTCTCGACGCCCCTGCTGGCTTAAGCAGCCATGTCACAGCCTCACGGCACCAATCTTGAGCTAATCCTGAGCGCCCATCGGATGATGCAGATCGACATGCACGCACGAATGTACATACTACGTACGGTAGGAGTAGTTAATGGATCCAAGGCGTCGCGCATACATGCGCCGTGATGGCCATTAATGGCACGCGCGCGAGAGAGAGATGGAAAGATCACCGAGCGTGAGTTGAGATGAATGTCCACCGGGTATCATCATGTGATCGCGGAGGAAAACGGCGACCCGCATTAATGGCTACGGCCCGTGGCAACTCCCCGATTAATTCGACCGTTCCCGCGCAACCAGCGTCGTGGGGCAGTAGTATTTGCAGTCGGCAAGTACAGGCCCATGGGCCACCACGACGCGGCCATCACGCCGCCACGGCAATGCCATGCCACCATCGCCATCATACAGCCGTACCAAATCACATGAAAACATGGTTAACGTACCAGAGACGCATGAACGGTGATGGTCAGCTGGTGCTGCCCGTTACGATTAACTAACCACGCGCGCACGAACCAAGCATGAACCTGGCCGCTGGCGAGCCGCGGGGGCGATTGGTTACCGAAAAACAAATCAGTGCTGCACGAGCTAAGCCCTAGCTGGAGGGAGATACGGTTTGATTTGTCACCAATTCGTGCGTACAGCGGCCGACAGGGCTCGCAAGGCTAGCGGCGCGAATCCAGGGACGACCTCTCCTCCACTTCCACTGCCACGCACGTACTACGACGACGTGCGCCGCACCCACGCACGCACGCCACCGCGCGTCGCGCCGGGCAGACTACTCACTGCTCATTGGCAAGGCGTCGCCGGTCACTATGACAAGGCGTCGCCGAGGACGTGCGGGGTGGTGCACCGGCTGCGGCTCCGGCCTCTGCCCCGACCAAACTGATGCCCTCGTCCCGGAGTGGCAAGTCAAACCTGAGCTTTACTGGCTTTCAAGGGACACCGACTCTAACAACTGATTTAGTCCTATTTTTCGAGCTTGCACCAATTCACGGCTAGGTTTTATAATTGAAAAACAAATCTGCTGTTAGAGTTGTGCAAGAAAGCATTTATGCGGCTGACCTTGCGTTTAATTAGTATTTGACGTTCACGGTCAGACACATCTTTATACTACCTCCGTCCCGGTGTATAAGTCATTCGCGTAGTTCTAGGTCGATAATTTAACTATCTAAATATGTATTATATGTGACAAAAAATATATATTTAGAAACTACATCCGCGTGGAAATCTAGTGATATACGTTTCATGACATATAACACATATTTAATTCCTCAAATCGATGACCTAGAACTGCGCGAATGACTTATACACCCGGACGGAGGGAGTAGTACATTTCTCCATTTCGTCTTTCTTGTCTGATCTCTTCCGGCAATGTGATTTGGTATTATAGTGGAAGTATTATTATTTTCAGTCAGAGCGCTTGGAATAAACACGTAAACCAGCATAAATATATTAGGGTAGTCATAGTGGAAGTAGTTAATAAGAGGTGATAACATAACATGTTACTATAACATAGCCTTCCCGAGACAAGATGAGTCTACAAGTTAATAAATGAAGCCATTTATGATATTACTATTATGTTACTTTGCATTATGAAGGCAATAACGTAGACTAGTGTCATAAATTACACCTCACTATGACCAGCCTTATTTTGGTTGATTTATATGTCATTGATGCGTCCACCTGCTTTTTCCCAATAAAGATAAGTATTGATATCTAAAAGATATCATTTACACATGGTCTCTACAACAATTGGATATCGACGAGTGGCCAAGACATCGAGAATGCATAAATTTGAATTATTTTGGAATGAGAAAAAATAACTATGTGATGCAATCACACAACCCATACACAACAAGAGCCACTCACGGAGGGACGACACCACACATCGCACATGCAACACAAACCTTGAATTGTGTGATGAGGGGGAGAGAGAGAGGTCGCAGACGAATCCCCACTCACCTTGCACAACCATGATTTGTCGTCGGTATCTCCACTCTTGTGCCACTATCACCTCGAAGCGTGTGGTTTGGTCGTACTAGATGTAAGGGCATATTTATCCCTAAGTGGCTTTAGTGATTGATGACAATACATTTGCGGACTAATCGTGTGCATTGAGCATTTCATATATCTCATACTTAGGCACAAAACGATTTGTTGCCCCTCGGCGTCTAATGAAGATGGAGTTTTCCCTACATTTCTTTTCGGTGGAATTGAGTCGTAGGTAAGCTGTACTATTAAGAGGTGGTCCGCTTTGAAAAGGTTTGGGTGGAATCATCACGTACACATCTATTCCTTTTGCACCACTTGTCCTTTGGCTCTTTGGAGCATGCTCTGTTTTTCCGTGTCTCTGCAAAATGAAGGACTCCTAGTGTTGTTTGTGCTGGGGCATGCGGTAGTACCGGCCACGCGGCCCTTGCGGTACCGCACCCTCAGGCCGGGCACAGCAGCACGAGCGGAAGTAGGAGCGGATGTAATTTTTTACATCCGCGCCCTACGCGGTAGTGCCGCTCCAAGCTTGCGGTAGTACCGCGTCGGATTTTTGCACAGATCGAAACTCAACGGAAGTAGCCACGGATGTATTTTTATATGTCCGTGTCTTCCCAGCCTAGACAAATCCTGCGTTGCGGTAGTACCGCAAGGGGGATCGGTAGTACCGCTCCGGCGGTTCTACCGCTCTTCGCTTCAACGCATCAGGGCTAGTCTAGCCCCTGCCGCACATACGGTAGTACCGCGGTGCCCCGCGGTAGTACCGCATGTCAGGTGTGGTAGTACCGCAAGTCGCGGGCTGAGTAAGTGGATAACGGTTGGATTTGTCCTATTACTATAAAAGGGGAGTCTTCTTCTCCGAGTTGACTACCTCTTCCATTCCTAAGCTCTATTGTTGCTCCAAACTTCATTTTCGCCCGATCTCTCTCCCTTGACAATCAAACTTGTTGATTTTTTAGGGATTGGTTGAGAAGGCTTTGATCCACACTTCCACCAAGAGAAAATTGATTCCTCCCACTAATCCCTTGCGGATCTTGTTACTCTTGGATGTTTGAGCACCCTAGACGGTTGACGTCACCACGGAGCCATATTCCATTGTGGTGAAACTTCGTAGTGTCGTTGGGAGCCTCCAATTAAGTTGTGGAGATTGTCCCAACCTTATTTGTAAAGGTCTGGTCGCCGTCTTCAAGGGCACCAATAGTGGAATCACGGCATATTGCATTGTGTGAGGGCGCGAGGAGAATACGGTGGCCCTAGTGGCTTCTTGGGGAGCATTGTGCCTCCACACCGCTCCAACAAGACGTACTTCCTCTCAAAGGGAAGGAACTTCGGTAACACATCCTCGTCTCCACCGGCTCCACTCTTGGTTATCTCGTATCTTTACTTGTGCAAGCTTACTTTGTGTTGCA